ATGTACCAATAAAAGAATTTTTAAAAATCATATGGTTCATTCTGTATATGTAAAAATTTTACTTGTAATTTAAAATAAATAATAAGCATCACAAACAAAAATAAAACTGTACTGTACTTCTTATTAATGTTAGTAGCAAAAACCATTTTCAAATACATTATAAAATAAAATTTTAAACAAAAGTAGAATCATAAACCTAGCAGAAAAACTTCATATTGAGAGACATAAAAAAGCTTTGCTACAAACCTCTGTACATTATCCAATATAAAAAAACTGTATGTAACTACATATAAAATGAAAACTTTTGTAGAAGGAAAATTTGTGAAAGGGAGAGATACAGGAAAAGGTTGTTATACAAGTATATTTGTAAGAACCTTTCTCAAGACTCTCAAAATCAATAGCAAAAATACAAAAACTATGGGTAACAGGAAACACAAATGTAAAAAACTGTGTTCTGTCAAGCTTCACCAAGAAACAATTTAAAGTAAGGATGTATATTTGTCATTGGGAAGATCTCATATGCAGATAATCAAAATACAATGACCATCACACATGAAAAATTTCCTCTATTAAGGATATTTCTGAAAGCACTTTTCATATCCCGATTCCTCAGACTGTAGATAAAGGGATTGAGCATGGGTATGACCAAACTGTACAGAGCAGCCACAATGACGTCCTTGTCATTAGTGTTATTAGAGGAGGGGACAAAATAGAGACCAATAATTGCTCCATAATAGAGAGTAACTACAGAGAGATGAGAACCACATGTGGACAAGGCTTTGCAAATTCCCTTAATGGAGGGAGCACTCAGGATTGTGGCCCCAATGCAGCCATAAGACACAATAATGCACATGAATGGCAGAGTAATAAACATTGATCCTACAATGAGTACAACTAGCTCATTGATGGCGGTATCTGAACTGGACAGCTTAAGTAAGGCAGAGAGGTCACAGAAAAAGTGATGAAGCGTGTTGTCTCTAGAGAAAGACAGACGGGCAAGGAGGAGAGTGTGCACAAGGGCAGCAGAAAAGGACAGGAAACAGGATGCAATCACTAGCAAGTAACAAAGGATATGACTCATGATTACGTGGTAGTGGAGGGGGTGACTGATGGCCACATATCTGTCATAGGCCATTGAGGTAAGAAGAAAGCTGTCAAGACTTGCAAATAATATAAAAAAATATACCTGGAAAATGCACCCAGCATAAGAGATGGATTGACTATGAGTGAGCATATTCATGAGCATTTTTGGAGCTGTGACTGATGAGAACGAGATGTCAGTGAGAGCCAAGTGGCTGAGGAAGAAGTACATGGGGGTGTGGAGGTGGGAGTCCAGCCTGATGAGCAGGATGATGAGCAGGTTCCCCAGCACTGTGGTCAGGTACAGGACCAGGAACAGGGCATAGTACATGCCTTGCTCTTCCTTTCTGATAGGGAGCCCCAAGAGGATGAATTCAGATGCACTGCTTTGATTATCATTCCTCATGCTCTTTCTTCTCTATTATACTGAAGATACAAAAAGGGAATAGACCTGTGAAAAAATGAGAAGTCGTTGTGACTATTACATGATAAAAACGTAGTTTAAACCTAATCCATACCAGCAAATTTTAATCTGAATATGTCAGGCTTATTGCTAACAAAGTGGGCTGGTAATAATTTAGACAAAGGACATTATTTGTCCTCCTGAAAACCAACTCAACATTCTCCAGAGAAACATGAAATTATTGAATGTTCATCAGATAAGACCAGTTTTTAACTTGAAGAGTCCCAGGGTTTGTGACAATAACTGAGATTAAGGAATTTGACACAAGGACAGGTTGGTGTCAGTTAATAGAAAACCAGTAGATAATTTCTAATTGTTTATTAACATCTCAACTTTCCTTTGCCTGTGAAATCCTCTTTTACTAACACTTCACTTCCAATGATTGAATTAAATTAAAAGAAACCAATGGGATGCTCTATGTCTGCAAAATATCACAATATGGAGATTTGGAGAACAAATGTGCACTGGGTCCAAGAAGTGCTTTAAAAGCACGAATGTATATTATAAAGTAAATTATCTAGACTCTATCTTGTAGTTCAGCCATTGCTTCTTCCTTTAATAACATTCTTTCTCACTCAGCATTTTCATCACCTATATAATAGGAATTTTCTTGGGCTATGAAGAAAATACTGTTTATCTTTCCAAGTCCCATCTTTTTGACACTTCAACTCAAATCAGATCATTCCTATTGAAATCCTCAGAACACTGAGGAATACTTAGTTTTTCTACTCACATCAGGGATCTGACAAATGATAGGCCATTGTAATGTCTAAATAGTACCCACAAATAATACCTTCTCTTTTCCCCTGATTCACATTCTAGGTTTTCCGGTAAAGATTTTTAAATGGCATTTTTCTAGTCATTATTCTAAAATTCTCAGTATTTTGGTAATTTTTTCTCTTTTCCCTTCAAACCAGTTGGTCTAAACTCATGCATGTGAAAAATTACAAATGAAAAGGAAAAGAGAATTTGAGAATATGTCTGTTAAAAATCAATTCCATAAGGTCTATGAAGACTTATTGAACCTGAAGTTCTTTGTATTTGAGAGCTGAGTAGATATCCCACTCTTACTCATCATTCATTTTGGGGGTAACTGAAGTTTAGACAATGTACCAATTCTCCCAACTTGACTGATATTATGTGCTAATTCCTACATTTTTTCATCCCATTATGTTAAAAATTCTCTTTATGTGATGTTACTAGATGAGATGGGTTAAACACTCAGTGATGTTACTCATATTCAGGTTAATCTCTATTCATTTATCATAAAACTCATTGTTGGACATGTAGGTTATTTTTAATATTTTGCCAAATCCAAAAAATTGCACCAAATAGCCTTTGTTATATATCAGCTTTCATATTAGCAATGTATCTTGGGATAAATTCCTAAATATTGAATTTGAGGGAATTTCTTTCATGGTTTTGATAGATTATCAAATAACAAGAGGCCAAGGTGACAAGGAAGCTCATTTATATACCTTAATTAAGGTAATTCTAAATGAAGAAGCTGTCACTGGAAGAGTATCAACATGCTCATTTTAGTGAAGTGTTTAGATTCACAATCTTATGGCATTTGAGAAAAAGAGACAAGTCAAGACCATGGGTACCCTGGGAATATTTGGAGAGAATGATCAAAGAACCAGGAAACTACAAGATGTTTTGGGCTGTAACAAAAATTTCCAATTCTATTCTAGAGCAGTAGTACACTGTTAAAAATATTTAAATAAAGACATGACTAAGAATTTTAATAGCTTGTTGTTTTCTAGGTAGAGATCAGATTATAGCAAGGCAAGAGAATCATCAGGCATCTGAATAGAGGCTAATGTATTTTAAGTAATAAACAGAACCTACTTAAAGCTAGATTGTGGCAGAAGAAAGGAATAAAAGTACAGATACTTGGTATAAAATTTGCAAGAAATTTTGCAGTACTTACCAGGGTTAAAGACATCCAAAAGAAGATATGTTTACTTGAATGTCCTCCTTAAAACTGGATATAAAAACAATTTCAGATAAATTATTCTAAAAGGAGAATTATTTTCCCTACCCACTTCACACACAAAAAAGGAAACATATACTGCAAACATGTACTTTGAAAAGGAGGGTATAAAGGAGTGGGTAGAGGTAGGAGGGAGAGAAGGGAAAGGGAATGAAACAAGGAATTAAGATGTGTTATGTATACGTACCAAATTTTCACAAGGAGTGCAAACATTATGTACTACATTCATGTACTAATAACAAAAATTTTTTAATTGAAATACTTAATTCAAAATGAATTATTCAAAATGCAGTTTTCTTTCATACTATGCATAGTATGATGGGTATAGTACCTGGGGGTGAGTGTCACACAGTGGACAGACACACCCAAACATAATCATTCACATTTTTGAATGTTGTCTTCTATTCTTACATGACCTCTTAAAAGACAAGACGTGCACAGCTATCTTTGAGAACAAAGCTCGGGGAGCTTCTTCAATTTCCCTCTAGAAGACATGGAATACAGGGGAAAGCCTGGAGTGTATAATGGGCTTGATATTTCACTGCAACTTGCAGAAGAGCTATCAGTTCAGAATCAAACCCAATAGACATATCCACGTACATTAGCTCACAGCTCCTGAGAAACTCATGTGAGTTCTAACTTTACAAACCATGGAAAGGACCTGAGGAGCAATCTTTCATCCCCAACTCCAAATTGAAGGCAAATATAAATATTTATTTGTCTGGCTCCCTTGAGTGTAAAATTGCTTATGGAAGAAGCCATTGGAGAATTTACCTTTGAAGGAATAATAAGCAGAGGGCAGCAGCCTTAGGAATTTTCTGAATAACAAAGATTTTAGTCTTCTCAGATAACCTTGGGGAAAATGAAATTCAGACATCTTCACCAAGGAGGAAGATTATGCAGTTAATAATCCAAATGCTTTTGTTCTAAACCTATATTAATTTTTAAAAGCAAAAATATGCTAATACCTTCATTTTCTGACTAAAAGAGTGAGGAGAAATTATGTATCATTGTCAGCAGTGGACTCAGGGACAGGAAATATAGCTGATATGAATGTGTCTCTTGTCCAGAAGCTGTGGTTTGAGTATTCCATTGGTGCAAAATTCTCACAATACTCTAAGATAAATATCCAATCCAAGCTTTCCACTGAACTCATACAAAAGCACCCCAGTTCTATTCCCTGTATCTCCAACCCATTTCTTCAATATCAGGTTTAATTAATTAAGGTGAAGATGTGTTAATACTTATGAATATTCTTATTTGGGTCTTTTTATGTGAAAAACAATCTGTGTTTGGAATTATGATTTGGATGAGGAAATCCTGTAAGATATTTAGCCTTCAGGCATTGTTTCAGGGTCCTGTAGGTCATGTTTGGTGATGAGTTGCCCTGATGACAATGCTACAGTTGATTTACTTGTTTTCATAGATGTCTAGGACTCACAAAATTTCCTCATTCCACCAAAGAACATTACACCTCCCTCTTTCCCCATGTGTATAAAGATGACTATAAAATCCATTCCCCAAAATTTTTTATTTGGGCCCAGTGTGGTAGCACACATCTGTAATCCCTCCTGCTGAGGAAGAAGGAACGGCTTGAGTTCAGTGCCATCCTGGGGTACATAGTCGAGTTCAAGTTCTGCCTGAAATACATAGCAAGATCTTGTCTCAAAAAATATTTCTTATTTGATCGAACAATATGCGAAAAGTATCTGTTCGAATCAGCAAATGACATTATTACTTCCTCAGGTACCAGATACCATTTCTTCGAACATCTTTGGGTTTATCCTCCTCTACAAGAAGTTTCTGACATCACTCTAAGTCTGATTTAGAAACATTCCTCTGCAATATATTGTAATTTGTTTGTAAGATGCAATCACATACACAAATACAGAAAGTAAAGAATAGGCAGATAATATTCACAAGGAATTCAACAAATAAAATTTCAATTTGGCTAATATTCACTAAAGATGATCAATACCAACATAATCCTGGGTAGACTAAAGCTTCATTTAGGTTCCAATGTAGATCAAGATATTCAAATTATTTTTTGTTGGTAGGGTTATATATTGATTTGCAAGTCTTAATCACTTTTATTAAAGAAACAATCTCTAATTTTGACTTTCAGTTGAATATATGCATTTTCATGGATCATGATCCAATGCCAGTTTTATATCAAAGAGATACCTTGCACATATACAACTGTAGACAAAAATGAGATTGATAGTAATAAACCTCATAGCAGCATAAATAATGACAAATATTTCAAGAGCAAATAAGTTATGATATTTTTGCAATTGACATAGTGCAATTACATATGCTGTATCATAGAATGCAAAAATATAATAATTGTAGAAAGTAATTGTGGAAATTATAGAATTTTAGAAATGTAATAATTGTAGAATAATTATAGAAATATAACAAACAAATGAAAGATAAAGTGAAGCTATTTTTAATTTTATAGACTGAATTTTGTACCCTTTCACAAATATCTCCATGTTAAAGCTCCAGTCCAGTGTATTTGGAGATAGTTCCTCTTAAGAAGGAATTGATATTGAATAAAATAATAAGGAGGGACCCTAATATGACAAGATTTCTGTCTTTATAAGACAAGATCCCTCTTCTCTCTATTTATTTTCCACATGAGGACATAGCAAGAAGGCAGCTATCTGTGAACAATGAAGACAGTCTTCAATAAAACAACAAAGCAGCTAGATTATTGGACAACTAGCATCCAGAACTGTGAGGAAATAAATTTTTACTGTGCAAGTCAAATAATCTCTGCTACATTGTTAAGGAAGTCTAAGCAATTTAAGTCAGGTATTTGTATATATGCAAATATAAATACATATTTTAGAGATGAATATAATTAGAAATAAAACTACAGAATTCAGTGGACTCATAACCACAAAATTCTGACCAGTCATTTGCTAACGTGGGGAGAATGTGG